TATTTTAGTTATTTTTTAAAAAAGTATTCTAGCTAATCTCCAAAAAAAAAAAAATTAGGGAATGAAATGACAATGGATGTTTAGGCAATATATTCTCAAATAATACGACAAATTTGTTCATGTTTTTCGTTATTTCGTAGTTGAATGTAATATATAAGTCAGTTGTCATTTGTCAAATGTAATATATAACTAGTTTTTTATTTTTATTTTTTGAAAATGACTAATTTTATTTTATTACGGTACTTATCCTTGTTTGATGTTAATTTGGTATGTACGATTTTTTAAAGACATTTGATGGAATTGTTCTTTGTTAAGTGGACTAATCCAGTTACAACTTTTTTTTTGTTTCCAATTACAAAATTAATTGGGATTACCAATCGCTTTTCGATCAATCATGTAAACTCATCATATCGAAAACAAGATAATTTCCAATATTAAAAATTTAAGGAAAAGTTATTCACCACAAAACTTTTAGAACATGCTATAGTTTTACAAACTTCTTTGGCACGATTACAAAATTACTATTGTTTGTATACATCTGCAAAAATACTATTTAGAAGTATTTATTTACAAAAATACCACTAATTATAGATTTATAAAGCTTATAAATTTTAAACATTAAAAAATGTTTTGACTCCTAAACTCTCCTGCACTCTCATAACTAAACTCTAATAGAACATAATTAACTCAAACATAAATAATATAAAAATAATATTAATTTTGAAAAAATAACATTTTTTGTATAGATTTCAAAAGTGTGGCATTTTTGAAATGTCAAAAGGATATCTGGTTTTTATTCACTTTAGATATTGAAATCCAAATATCGATCCGAAAAACATATCACATTTTTTTTAATAAAAGAAACAAATAATGAAACTTTTATCCATTAGATCATAAAGTAGTCTGTTTGATTACTCACCGTAGAGAAAACTATACAATAAGGACAAAAAATAACCTTTTTAGCTGAGAAATGGGGGACAGTGATATATATCTGAAATGAAATGTCTGATCACAAAAATATCAATTTCAGGAACCCAGAAAAGAGGACTCTTCTTTTACCTCGAAGGGTTCCTGATGATTCTTCCCTACAATTTTCTCCTGAGAAAAACTTAAAATTTCAGATTTTTATTCTTTGTTAATAGATACTTCTCTGTTTTCTCTACTATATTTCTGGGATTTTGTTTTCAAGTTCGGTGATGCATGGTAGAGATAAAGCTCGTGGAGAAGAACATGATGGGTCTGTCGAAGATCATAATTCTCCAGCGAAAAGGGTGGATTTTTATTCCATTCCAGTTCTTCTTTTCAATCTATCTTGAATCAATATTGTTCAATTTCATTTTTTTTTTCTTGTTTCTGGTGGTTTTGATTTGATGGGTACGTTGAGAATTTCATCAATCTCCCTTGATTTTAGGGTTTAGGGTTTTAGCAGGTCGTTTTCTTCTGCAAATCGTTGAACCTTAGGCCATGGATATGCACAATTTAGGATTCAGTTTATGAAAGATTAGGCTTTTAAGGATTGAAATAGATTTATATATTGGATTGGGAATGATCTTGGTGTTGCAGGAGGTGGATTCTGCTGAAATAGCAGAAGAAGAGCTATCACCAGGACGAGATCTATGGAGGCGAGGCCTTGTTGTGTTAGATTTACCATCAAGAACACACGAAGATATCGGTGAGGATCTATTGAGACGAAATGCATCCTTAACATCAAGTCCTGTTGCTAAAAGAGTAAACTTTTCTCCAATGTCGAGTCCTAGAACCGGGCAACGCGGTGCATCCCTGAGTCCTTCATCCTCCTCTTCAAGAAACAGGCCTAATAGCCTGAAGAATCTAATCCCGAAGCTGAGCTTCAAAAACCGGAACAGCAATAACAATAATGTGGATATCGAGAAAGCTGCAGATTTGGCCTTTGCGTCCTCTCCTTCTTCAGGAAATGGCAGGGACAGGTTCACATGGACTCTCACTAATATTTTAACTCCGAGATTGAAGAAAACTGAGTCCTTGCCGGTAACCCCTATAGCTCATTCAAATCCTGAGTCTATGCACGGGAGATATGTAATTGATCCAGTTATTACCATGGTGAGTAACTTTGATTGATCGATTCGTTTTGGTTCCCATGTGAATTATTCCATTGTGATATGTGCTGTTATCTCAATGGCAAGAGACATTATCTTGTTTCGCACTTCGTCTTGGTTTCAATAGTATGTTTAAGTGATGCATTTTGCTTGTCAGATAAGAGTAGCTAACTGAGTTATCTTCTGCTTTACTTCATTGTTTGTTTGACTGGTTTTTTTGTTACTAAATGTTGTCTCAACAGAAAAAAGGGCCTCCACTGCCTATTCACCGTTCACGCTCTGTTCCGGCATTTAACAAAGATGGAAGTCTAAGGCAATTAGGTGTTTTCCGGGTGATTCCTACTCCAAACATGACTCCAACCAGAAATATTATTAAAATTACCGGTTAGAATTTGTCTTTTTCATTTGATGTTTTAAACCCACAGTCATGAAAGTTTGATATTTCTTGTTCTTTTGGTGAAATGAAAACCCAGTGCCTTATATTAGTGAAATGTTTCAGACGCGAATGTTGATGGCGGAGAAGATGTTCCTGAAGAAGAAGCTGTGTGCAGAATCTGCATGGTCGAGTTAGGAGAAGATTCAGAAGCTTTCAAGATGGAATGTATGTGTAGAGGCGAACTAGCTCTTGCCCACAAAGAATGTACAATCAAATGGTTCACAATTAAAGGAAACCGAACATGTGATGTGTGCAAGCAAGAGGTTCAGAATCTCCCTGTGACCCTTCTTCGCATGCAGAATTCTCAGGGTAATCTTGGAGCTGCGGATAACCAGGCTACTAACTACAGGCAAGTCAAAATCCAAACACTACCCGTCGAAAAAGTTCAATTTTTGTGGATATTATTGACCGGAACTATTGCTCTCTCAGTGTATGGCAGGATGTTCCAATACTTGTCATTGTAAGCATGCTTGCATACTTCTGTTTCCTCGAGCAGCTTCTGGTAAGTTTTCGTGAATATCAGACTCTCACACTCTGTACCAAGCTTTTGTAACATCTTCTGGTCTTGATATTATTTACAGCTTACTAAAATGAAATCCGGCGCCATTGCAATATCATTACCATTCTCTTGCGTTCTTGGTCTTCTTGCCTCGATGTTGTCAACAACAATGGGTAAGAGTTTCTTACAGTAAACAGTTTGGCATCAAAATCTTGCCTTCCAACAGTTCATTTCGGTACTCAAATTATCTGCTTAATTGATCCTGTGGCCATCATTGTGCAGTGAAGAAGCAATTTGTCTGGATTTATGCCACAATTCAGTTTGGTCTTGTTGTTTTTTTCTCTCACGTTTTCTTCTCATTGGTGAGGGTTTTTTTTTATCTCAAGAACAGAACAGGACACTCAGCTTCTTGTTCTGACTCTCAACCTTTTTCGGTTTTACTTCTGCAGGTTCACATGCAGCCGGTTGTATCCATTCTCTTAGCCACATTGGTTGGGTTTGGAATCCCCATGAGCTTCACAACAGGTATAGTTGAGTTTTCTAAATGGAGGAGAAGCCATAGGACAGCTGAACCTCCAAGCAGTAGTCAGGTGGATCAACCACCAGTTCAGACAACAGATCAGAGCATTTCTGAATCAAGAAACTAAAGCCAGAGGTCCTGAATACTGATCATATGTTCCAGTAGCCGTCTATGGTATGAAATCAAACCATTTACGGATCGAGTTTTCGGGACATCTGGTTGGAGATCCATCTATTTAGAGATGTGAGAACATATTGGTTTTCTGGATAAGTAGTGATACCTGAAAGAGATTAAAGGTTTTTTTTTTTTTTTGGAGAGGATCTCTTTTGTGTGTGAATGTGAGTGTATACTGTATATCATCTTGCGTGTTCTAAAAGAAAAATAAAGGAAAAAAGTTGTGTTCTTTTTGTAAGTGACAATATTTTTTCGAATCTTTGATATTGAGAATTCCGGCAGTGAATGAATACTCAACTCATCTGGTAATTCCGGCCGCAGTGGATATGGACCTTTATTTAGAGCAAATAGTACTAAAAAAAGAGAGAAGAAGAAAAGAGTGTATTTATTCCCTAATTAAGCACAAAGAAAAGAGTATTCATCAATTAACCCCCAAATCCAATAAGTTTTGACCTAAATTCCTCTAAATTTATACCTGAAAGCTTGGTTCCTCGCAGCCAATGCATCATCATCCCTGAAAGCTTGGTTCCTGGCATGGATGGCTTGACGCTCCTTGTGTGAATGGTCTACAAGGGTTTTCAGCAGCGCGATATACGGCTGATAGTAAACAGAGTGAGAATACATACAGTCGAAAAATTTGAAACAAGGTTCCACACACTTTTTGCTTCCTTCCTCAAGGCAAGCTACCATAACCCTAAATGATTCTTTGCAAGCACCTCCTTCCATGAATTCGCAAAACCCTTTATCTGTTTTCCAAATAGCTTCACACTCTCTCACCCATACTTCCAAATAAGATCGTTCCACCACTACATCCCACGGATCTAATAGTTTCTCTGACAAGTCTGTTCGAGAATTCGTGATCCCCATTCGATTCTTCTCAGATCGATCGTAAAAGCATATTTTTAGTCTTTTATTTGTATCCTACGAGAACAAAAGGGTGATTTTTAGGCCGACTCTGTTATGACCCGAATCCTAGAAGAGGCTTTGGACTGAAGAAGAGGATCAAAGCCCAAATTTTCATATTCACATTTTATGTTGCAAACTAGAAATTGACCAAACTATAGATTTTTTTATTAGGGATTTACTTGGTTTCTTTTTATTTATTGAAACTGATTTAAAATCGATCGATTGACCGTTGCTAGTTTTTAGTTAAAACTGATTTACGGCGGGTATTGTTTTAAGTATGTATATGTTATATACTTTTGCATGATTTGTGTTTATGATGGTGTGTATACACAGTGGATTGCCAATATGCTAATGTATTGTTGTTATCTTGAGTCTGAGAGATCAATTTTTGCAACATTAATTATTATACTTGCAATCACAAGTGAATACCGATAAAAGCTCAAGGCCAACCTCAATAGTCAATAGCATGGCCTATTGTCTGGATAATGCGATCAAAGACACTATTTTGTTCAACTTCAAATGACCTCCATTGCAGTAGGCATTTGAATATAATACATGTTGTGATTGGTCGGTTCCCCTTGAACCCCAAGTGTTGAATGATGCAGGGGATAAGCAGTTCCTGATTTTCTTGATAATGATTTCTGTGGTTTATCCTCCACTTCTGAGGGATCCCTATGGTTCATCGAATGGCTATGCAGATCCTGATTCAAATTAAAAAGGCACTGGTCCATCATTAAACTAATCAAAAAGCTAAATTTGAGACTACAAATGAATGAGTACATGTACTTACCAAGCTTGACCTTGCATCAACTGCTACATGACCACTCTCTGAACTTCTATGTTATTATTAAACAGATGTTAAGTCATCAACTTCATACAAACAACCAAAAAGATACATGTGGTCTAATACTTCAGTTAACTGTTCTTAATTTACCTATAAGATGGACCTTGAGCGGCCAGAGAGAAATTTATTTGGTGCCATAGACACAGCCTGTTGCCGTAAGACTTTGTTCTCTGATTTCCATGTTGGTGAATTTTTCCTCCATCCTGATCACATTAGCTTCAAGTTTAAACTCAATAGCCAATAAAGTTACCAGAAGAATCATGACTTCACATGAATAGGAAGATATTTTATATAGGTGCTTCATGAGAAATTCTAACCTTGTGAGGAATTCTTGGAGTTGCTGACCTTTCTTCTCTGTCTCTTCCAATTTTTTCCTTCTTTCTTCAAGAGACTCTTGAGCTTCTTCAAATTTCTTCACTGCATCATCAGCCCCTTATTTCTCGTTCTCTAGAGTAGCCTATTGGAACGCAAATGATTACTGGTGCTAAGTAAAAGTCATATGTAACTACGAATGTAAATCTCAAAATTTGATGGAACGTACCTTTACACTCCAATTCCTCTGTCATTGATTCAATCTTCTTGGTATCTTCAACTAAAACTTGTGTTTCTTTAATAACAGGAGGAGCTTCTTCAGCAGCTTTCTTAGCAGTTTCACGTTTCTTCACAAGGCACGCATTTGTTTCATGGACGTTTTTCGCAATTCTTCCAGTGAACTTCGCTATCTCCTGAGTCTTTGCTTCTTCTAAATCACCCTGAAAAATTAATTATGTGCTATACATTATATATCTACTTCAAAGAATGATCGATTCAAATGATGTTTCTATGGCAGATACCCTCGAACGTTTTCCCAATTGGACACGGTAACCAGACTGACATAGAACCTGAAAATAAAAATATAGACTGAGAAACTTCTGAGACAGTCCCCTGTGTCAAGTTTTCTTGGAAAAATGAAAATATAATAAACTACACAAATTCAATGTAGCTCCAATATATTGCTTCTTTTGTGTACTCTTCCTCTTCCATCTTGAAAACGTGCTGAAAACAGCAAAAGAATTCAAAAAATCACAAATGGAACCCAAAAAAAAGGTTTTGCACTACAATCAAGAACCAACCTGGTTAAAATGCAGCTGCAACTTCTCATTAGTGAAATTAATGCAGAATTTTTCAGAACTGCAGCAGAACGGTATTAGCAGAGAATGTCGGACCGCAAATCTGTGAGCCTTAGATCACGTAAAGATTCATTACCTATTATTTTTCAAGCTCTCAAATCCGTAAATGTCCAGAACTCAAATGAGAGATTTAGAATTGGCATCTTGTCCAATCGAGTTATTGATCTTGTTTAAAATGAAAAGATCAAGATATTCACTTAGCATCAAAATAAGTAAAAGATCCATTATTGTGACTCATAAACAGCAACCCACCAATCGAGAATAGACCGTCTTGCCGAGACCATCCCTGCTGGTAACAGCACTCTGTTGATCGATTCTTCTCTTAATAACTTCCTCCGGTGTGACCATAACACGTTTACATAACGCATCTTCAAGTGCCTTTAAATCACACGTGCAAACAGAACTTCCAATTAGCTCCTTGAGCTGATAACACATAGAGAGGTCTTCTCTGAGAGAACATACATGAGAAGTTCCGCAGCCGTGTTAAGATGAAATGTTTCTAACACCAAATTCATTAGCCACATGCACCATGTAAAAGGTTCGAGAAAGTATAGTTTCACCTTCTTTTACTGTAGACTAAAGTGAGTGGAAAATAAAAAAGCTTCTCATTACATTAAGAGACCATTCAGAGTTTGACCTTAAAGAAAACCCCACCTTGCTCATCTACTTGTTGTCTCACTCATCAAAAGGGAATCAAGAAAATGGTATCACTATCACATACACGTTGCTTATGCAGACTATTGTTCTACTACAAAAACAAATGATAAAAGTATCACATACACTGGGTTAAAAAGTAAGAGGCACATCTAAGAGCAACTTCTGAGCAATGAGTTTGTTAAGATATATTTAAAAAATCAATTCAACTTTGTGCTTGACAAGAGAAAGGACGGGAAGAATCCCAACAATGACTCATAAGAATTTGTTAGAAGTGACCATGGGAAGTGACCTTCTGAGAACGGTGCCGGTGTCGGAGGAGAAATATGCATCGTCTTTCCGTGAGGAGGAGGTAATCACACACAATCGATCGAGAGACCCAACGAAATTGTAGAGGAAAAGAGAGAACCTCGTGACCAGAAATTGTAGGAAGAGAACTTACTTCAACAAATTGCAGTTCTCTCCATTATCTCATTGAAACCGATAAACAAACAAGAACAATCGAATAAAGAGGAAATGAGAACTTACTTCAACATCTTGCAGTATATACTATACAAACTCTTATGCCTCCCAGAAAGAACATGGTACGAAATGCCTTCAACTGTTCGCGTCTGCCATTGCAAGAAACATAGTGTGCAAATGATCCGCTTGAACTGTTTTAAACGCGGTATTGTTTCCCGAGAACAGCTCTCGCGTCTGCCATTGGCTAAGCTTAGACACCT